GAGGGGAGGGGAGGGGAGGGGAGGGAATGATCTTAACCAGCTCCCAACCTCTTTCTGGGAGAAACCAAGTTTTGAATAGGGCCTATTTGTCGGTCATCCCTTTCATATTATAACCAATAGTTGTTCTTAATTCCCTTCACGTCCTTGCTCTAATGATGTGCAAAAAACTGCTAAACTTTGGGGGAAAAAATGAAATAAAACACAAAGTTAGAGAAAGTAACTGACCATCCACACCACATGAAAACTTGCAGAAAAATGAAGATAGAAGTGGGCATCATGGCAGTGGCGAAGTTCGTTGTGCATAGAGGCTGATCCTATTAATAACGGGCAAAGTAGCAAGTAGAGGAAAGGAAAGAAAACACAGAAAGAAACACACACAAGATGAAATTTCATGCAGTTTGCTGGCCGACAGCAGAGTTAATGTGAAAAGCAAAGAGCAAAGCATTTCACAGGGAGAATTGCAAAGGAAACTTAACCCAAAGTATCCAAGTGTTACCATTACATGACTACCACACAGAAGAGCACATCAAGCTAATAAGCAAAACGCCTTTGTACGTTCACACACAAATATCCAGTGTTAGTAGATCATGGAGATCATCAAACGTTTCTGAGAGTCCTTCCCATTTTCCCAATAAAGCAGATGTTCTCATATGTAAACATTTTTACTGCTAAAACCGGTTGTTCTAATGTCCTCCTGATGAAGAACATGATCTGCGACTGAGTGTGTTTGTATATGCATACATGCATGCATTCACAAATGGATGCATAATTCATGCATGTTTGTTGCAACCTAAAAAGGTATATAGTATAACACCGATCTTGGACTGTGAAATGTTGGCATGAGGAAACTCTCTTTTTAAAGCAAAGACTATATCCTACGTGGGATTTTTTCCAGAGCGAATAAAAATAGAGCACTTATATTTCACAAGTACTGCATGTACCATCTAAAAAAAAAAAAAACTCTGCTAATTTTTTTTTAAATCATGGGTTTTCATGAATACCATGCTCTGTAAACAGCTTATCTGAAACCCTATGGAGATCTTTTTTAACAGAGGAAAGTCAAGATAATATTTGTGTTACAGTATGTGATATTTTACCATATGTACATATTTGTGCGTGTGTGTGTGTGTGTGTAGTCTCTTTTATTCCTATCTGCCTAGCTTGGATCTTTTCAGGCTGTTTAAACAATACAATATGTGTGTGTGGATGTCAAAGTTAAATATTTGTTCATAAGCTGTTTTGCTAGATCACAGCAATTGTGAGGGCACAAAGATTTTCAACATTCCGGGTACTTCATAACATGAGCAAAATTAAATAATTGTATCTGTGTCACTGTGCTAATGTACCATCCCTTTACAATGAATCCTCTTTGAAACAGAGGAGCAATATTCTCTAGATCTCAATGTGCCACAAATAGAGAGATTTGGAACAAGGAAAATGCATTATGCCTATGAGTCAGAAGGAGAAACCACAGTATTTGAAAGGCCACCTTTCAAGGATTCTGAAGACACTATGGAAGTTTGCCATGACCGTGTAGAGAAAGCCGGCACAGACTGTCCTATTTTTTTAAGATAGGAATCATGTGTGAAAGCACAGTCAGTATAGGAAAGGCAACTCAGAAAAAGCAGCTGTTAATTTTAAGTTAACTGTGAGAACATTTGCATTAGAACAGCTCTGATCTGGAGTGAACAGTACATTTAATGAGAGAGAGAGTACAGTCAATTCAAGATGCAAACTATTCTGAGGGGGAGAGAGAGAGAGAAAGAGAAAGAGAAAGAGAAAGAGAAAGAGAAAGAGAAAGAGAAAGAGAAAGAAAGATCTTATGTCTATGAAGCCACTTTCTCAGAAGATGAGACTCACTTTAGCATCATCAAAACAGGCATCTGGTCCTTTCCTGTACCTGGGGCGTTGAACCATTTCACATGGATTAGGTCCTTCATCTAAACCTTGATTAAGGAACACAACAGAATTCTCCTCTCTACTCAGACAACACAATTATGTTAAGACGAGGACAAGACATGTTGCTATCTGAGCAAAGAACAAGACAGCACACCCCATTCCAGGCTCGGTAGTCAACTAATCAGGTAGCTTCGATTAAACATTTCCATTGTGATAACAACAACAACAACAACAACAGCATTCAACTTTGATGACCACTAGCTTTGGGGCAAGCAATCTGTTTGGTCTTCAGCTCTACCATCTAATGCCTTCTCTTTCCGTGATAAGGCTGGACTTATATTCCAGACATGCTTAGAAGTACATCTCATTCACTTCAAGAGGGCTTATGGGGGGAGGGGAAGGGGGAACTTGTCACACACCCTTTATTTTCCTTTATTATAGAAATAATAATAGTAGAGAGCGTACATGTGAATTAGAAAGTAGAAAGTATATATGTCAATTGTCCTGCTGTAATGTGTGTACGAAAAGGATTGGGACTGAAGGACCAAGGAAAAAATGGGATAGTATGGAGGATATGTTGGACATGAGCTCAGGATATGATATTATAATTCTATCCTAAAAAATGAGACAGGAAAGAATTGTTATATTCTTGGAAGGAGTAAATGCCTTAACTGGTTTTATATTGCTCTGAAGCTATGGTTATGTTTTATCCTGGAGAAGGTCTACCTGTGTGCCTGCTAAAAAGTCAAGAGTGACATGATGGAACATAATCAATCAATCAATCAATCAATGGTAATGTACATATTAAGATCATATAGACAGGATGCTGGTATGGGGTAACATAACATCCAACACACACACACATACACACACACAACACAAAACTACTACAGGTCCAGGTTTTAGTTTAGAATCAGGTTCTTCAGCTGTTTCCAATGTTCTTTTGTAAGCAAGTACAAATCCAGTCTCAAGTTAAGCTGGAAAGGATACCAGGCTTCTCTGCTTGCATCAGTGGCCTTGCATCACAGTGATGGCACAATTCTTTACTGTCACTCATGATGAAAACCAAATTTGTGTTGGAAATTTTCTCTGCATGAAAAAGCCTGAGAATGAAAGCAAAACAACACCCAACAGTTAATGCCAAAATGCAAGAAATGAGCCTGCCCTCATTCTACCAATAAATTTGAGAATCAGAGGGTGAACTTGCTGATTAAAACTCCAAAAGGTCAATGCAAATCATGTTTGGAATAGCCGCAATAGCCATGATTATGTAAATTATTTCTAAAAGTACCAAGCATTTGGAAGAATGTTCATGGATGTTCCCCAATGTTCACTGGGATCATTCTGCTTCAGCTGCAAACCTACAAGAAGCATCATGATATGCTGACCCTTCCAAGAGATATGGCTACCTTCACGCCCTAAGTAATGCATCTCTCATACCTTCTGTTCCCTAACATTCTGTCATAAGGACTATAAAGCACATGCTACTGAAATACATATAAACTCTGCAGGACTTCAGATTTGATTTTCAAAATCTGCTCTGGAGCACATGGGAGCACATATGTAGCATCTCTCTGCAACCCCTTAAAAGCAGGCTTTCCTATGCAATTCCAGAGAAAGATGTGGCTGTTTTAAAGGTTGCAAACATATGTTATGTTTGCCCACCTGTACATTTGCTTCTTTATATTTTAAACATTATTAAGAGGGAAAAATCACATTAGAATTTGTAAGTGAAACCTACCTAGAACAGTTGATACAGTCAAGGATGCCATTGAAGGATTTCTCATCGTTCCCAAAGAAATATTGCGTTTGTACCGTGATACAGCTCTGTTTTGACGGGATGGCGCTGAAATCTTCATCTTCTACTTCCACTATGAAACAGAAAAGATGTTCAGCTCTGAGTGAAGCTTCTAACGTAAACACTCTTTCTCCCCAGATTCTTCACTTACCTGCTCCAAGGAAACGTGGGAAGGTCAGCCCCCAAAATAGCTGCTGCAAAATAGACCTAGATCAACAAATAATTGTACAGGGATATAGTAACTATATTAGTATCCATTATAACAACCATAGCAATGAAGAATTCTTATATTTCATGTGCTGTTACTTCCATGTTTTGTATATGCCTAAATGTATACCAACCATAGCAACAAGAGAATCAAGGGTTATGTGCAGAGCTCAGTAAAATGACTAACTAAGATCTAGGCAAGATCTGGGACTATGTATACCTGATGAGTTCCAAATAGAACAAAACTGGTTGTGTACTGCCTCCTGATGGTCAATATGAGTAAAAACATCACACAGGATATACATGGTGAAAAAATTCAGAAATTCCCCCCTCCTCTAAAGGGAGGGTGGAAGTCATATAAAACCTTGGAAAATGAAAGCACAACATAATGTAATATCCATATCTCTGTGATACTTAAGGAAAAAAAAGTGAAGTGTATATACCAATCAGAAGATAGGTAGGTCAAACAATACTTAAATTATGAATAGGTCAGAAGTGCAGGTATTACAGTTTGGCAAGAATTCTATTTATCATCTCTCCTTCACTTGCAAAAATGTCCACGAATATTTTTTAGACATTCTATGTTAATATTACAGCTCTGTAAACTTTTCCTCCCTCTTCCTATCATACAAGACGAACTGGTAAAATGAGCCAAGCTATTTCCCACAGAATAGTATCTTATGACAGCCTGGCCTCTGTTAGTAGGGTTGCAGAAGTAAGAGGCCTCTGGATATGTTCATGTATTCAATTATTGCAGTTTTGTCTTTCTGAAATTGTTAGTGTGCCTTCTCAATTCCCCACCAGACATTCTTTACACAGCATTCCTTCCTTTTGCTACCTTCATGAATCATTAACATGGAACATCTGTTTGACCACAAAAGTTCTTAGTCTTGTTTCCTTGCACTGATTTTTGAAAGCTGCCATTTTTCTTTTATTCTGATCACATATTCACTGAAACCCCCACCTCAGCATGGCCTTTCTCATCTCTGCAAATCTGTACCAATATTGTTGGTGGGGGAAGGCTAAGTACTAAAATCAAACCATGGCCAGACCTCCAGGTTTGATATCAGCCCCGATAACCCATTCCAATTTTAATCCAGTTTAGTTTTCTCCTGAATCACTGTCCAAAGCAGACATTCAACTACAGAAATCAAAATTCTTGATGTTCATGACATGACCCATTTCAAACATCTTTTTGGGATGGGAGAAAAGGTAACTAATTCTTTTAAAAATCAAGTTAAACAAGGAGAACATGAAGGGAAATATCAATGGGACTAATTCTTCCTACTAACAGGGTTTCATGTGGTTGAAATGTATAATAATCCTACCTGCAAATTCCAACTTACCAGGCAGCTGCAGAAGCCCACCAACCAAGGTGTAAAATATCTGCTATTGTAGGCTAGAATAGAGGAAAAAAAGAGTATAATCTTAGAAGAATCTCTAAAAACACATATGGATTCTCCCCATCCAACACCCACATATTGATATTTTTTTAAAATGTATTTATAGAATCTCCCTGTCACCTCTATTTTTTGGTGGGTTACGTTTTACAAAGTTTTTCTTAACATGCTAATATTGTGGGGGCTCCTACTTTAACTCTTAATATCCAAACAATTATATTTTTTCAATATGCTATTGTTAACATTTTATTTCCTCATTGATTGATTGATGGATTACATGCCATCAAGTTGTTGTTGACTCCTAGCGACCAAATAGATGTTCTCCATGACAATCAACCCCTAACCTATCCCTGGTCCCTCAGCACTTCCAACAGTGCACTCATTGCTATTATAGTTGAGACCATCCAACTTGCTGCTGGTTGTCCTCTTCTCTTTTCTCCCATCTTTCCCAGCATCACAGACATCTCCAGAGAGCTAGGCCTTTGCATGATATGTCCAAAGCTGGATAATTTCAGCCTGGTCATTTGTGCCTCAAGTGAGAACTCTGGGTTGATTTGTTCCATCAGTTTGTTTTCTTGGCTGTCCATGGTTTTCTGAGGAGTCTTCTCCAACAGCAAGGTTTAAAAGCATCAATACTTTTCCTATCCTGCTTTTTCAAAGTCCAACTTTTGCTTCCATAAAGAATCACAGGGAATACCATGGCTTGCACTATTCTGATCTCTGTAGGTACAGACTCATCATGGCATTTGAGTATCTTTTCCAAGGCCTTCATGGCTGCTCTACCAAATGCTAGTCTGTGGTGTATTTCTTGATTGTTTGTTCCTTTACTGTTGGTGGTTGATCCTAAAAGGCTGTGGTGGATTGCAGCAGAGAACAAGGCTATCAGGAAGGAAGGGGTGTGTTCCAGGAAGGGAAAGGAGACAGAAGACAACACAGTCCACAGGAGGAGTGTGGAAGGTGAAAGGAGTTCAGGATAGCCACTCCCTGAGAATCTCCCAGGGTATATCCATTACTTGCAGTAGTTTGCAAGATTCTGCCTATATGGTGTAAGCAAATAAAGGAACTGAATTCAACTGGACTGTTTCACCGTTGTTCTTGGGCTGGGCCTGTCAAAGGCAGAAGCTATCCACCACTTTGATACCTTCATTGTCAATTCTAAGGCTTGTTGTTCCCCCTGTTGTCATTAGTTCTTTTAATCTCTATTTAATACCTTGCAGTCTGCACTTATACTCTTTCTATGCCCTTCATCTATGTATTTTACCTTTTCCTTTAGTTCTTAATTTTCTTAGCATTTTATCATTTTAGATTTGACATTGACATTGGCCAGATCATAGTAAACTTGAACTTATATGAATAAAAATTGGATGAAAAGGTGCAATCCATACTGACCACATTGATGGAGCGGAGGCCAGCTCCTTGTTTTGGTTCTTCTTCTGGATCGCACACAGACTGATAGTCGTAAGACTTGTTGAAGGCATATAAGGACATATTGATGAGATTTCGCATGAGGCCTGGGTCAATCTCACCAAAAAATTTTCCAATCTAATGTAAAAAGAAAGGTTTTACCCAACGATCAGTCTTTAAACAGAGGTGAGGCAACTGCTTAATGTGTTTCATGCTTAATTCATGCGCATCATCCTTAATTCATACACGTACCTCTGGAATATAATTATCTTGGTTGGTCATCAAAAGAAATCCCCCATCATCAAGGATAACACAATCAACGTGCTAGCCGAAAGAAGAATAGCAGAAAATAATTGAAATTTACCTTCAAACTGAATATAAACAGAAAAATAATAAGCTAAGATTTTATTCACAAGTTAGATAATCATGTGCTTTGGAGTATAAAATGTCTGTTATGATCTTTGGAGCATTTCTGGATTAAATTACAGTGGAATATCTGTAGTAAAATATTAATTTCTAGCTAGCAAGCACTAACAAATATGAAATTGTGCTGTTCTTCTCTCTCAGAATTGAAACCAGTTACTAGTGATGGAGGACCCTGAGACTCAAACACTCTCTGAGAATTACTATTATTAACTATAATAATTTTTCTCCAATGGATCTTTATGCTTGTTTTTGGTTTTGGAAATATAAATGTGGCTGCACATTTGATTTGCAATGTGTTTGTTCAAACCAGAGATCTGAATGGTAGAAGGGAAAATTAATATTAATATTAATAATGATATTAATGCTTAACATTTACATAGCACCTTCAAAAGTCCAAAACTACATCAAATAATTATCCTGTTATAAACCCTTAAAGCAGGTGAGATGTTAACAATGAGTTTATTTGGCAAAGGAAGCCTCTGAAGCCTCAGTTTTGGCAAGAAGTATTATTTCTCTTACCGGACTGTTCTTTTCACATCCGCAAAGTTCACTTCCACTTTTGCACTGAAAAATGTAAGTGTATTGCATTCATAAAACCATTCCTCTTTCAAAAAGGATGAAGACATAATATGCATGGCATGACCCAAGTTGTCAGATATTTCCCTGAGAGGAGCTGGACAAAAAACCCAAATCCTTCTTTTTACCGCTCTTAGATAGGAGAGCACAACCTTCTCCTTGGTCACCCTGAAAGAGCCTTCATCTGTACACACTGTACAAAATGAGGGCATCCAAGAAAACACCTTCTCTGCCGCACAAATGTTTGAACCAACGTTGGCAGTTGCACAGATGGCCAACCCAAGGTTTGAGGAGAGGCAGGGCAAGAATAGGATTAGGTTTTGGATTCACTAGGTTGTTCTTTGACCTATCTTAGCCAACAAATAAAGAACCTGTTAAGAATATCTGTTTTCCAATTGCTCACAGTTCCCTGTTTTTACAGAGTTAATGTCCTCTAGATATTTCTGATTGTGGCTTTGATATTGTATAGAAGTTACTATCCATTTAAAAAAAAAAACTTTAAAAAGTTTTTATTTAAAAGGCTTAGGTGGCTGCCCACCTCACCTGTGACTCTAGGTGGCTAACAACAATTTAAGATATCAACCATAACACAAATAAAAGAAAAAGAAAACAATAACAATTTCTGACTTGCTTACCCCTAATCTAGTGGATTTTGGTGATAAAGTAACATCGGCTTCTTTTTTTGGAGCGGGGGGGAGAATAATATGGATGTTTGTTTATTTATTTATTTATTTATTTATTTATTTATTTATTTATTTAAATTTGAATGCTGGGTGGTTCACAGATAGAAACACAAACACCAATACAAACCAAAATCAAGATGGGATCCAAGCACAATATACAAACAGAAAACAAAAATAGCAAAAACACACCCAACAAGGGGTCCCATCTGTCTCACCCCAAGGCCTGTGAGAACAATCAGATCTTCGGGGTTTTATGGAACACCAACAGGGTGGGGGCAGTATTTCTAACTTTTTATTGAACGGAAGCTCATAAGATTGCAAAACAAGTCCTGGAAAAATTGAAGGGGAAGTCTATGTAACTCACCTGATCTTTAGTTGTGATTGTAGTGAAATTTTTCATCCAGTTGGTCAGACTGATTTTTACTCCAACCACTGACAATACATGAAGCATGAGAAAAATAAAATAAATGTATCAACATTGCAAAATGGTATATATTTTCTGAATCCATGCTTTGGTCTCCAGAATTTTTCCAAAGCTGTATTAACAAATCTTTGGAAATACTTGTACGGCCAAAAAGACATGGTTCAGAAGAATACTAGATAAGACAGACAGGGGGGTCAACAAAATGGCAGGCATGACTGGGCAATTGAGGCTCCTCCCCCTTTTTAATGTGTGCTGCGTGCATTGCACACATATAGAAAAGCTGGGGCTTTGAGTTCACCATTGCACCTGCCATTTTGAAGTTGTTGAGACATACACCTCACCCCTCTCAGATGCCCCTGAACACAGGCTTTGTTTTACAGACTTGAATTACTCTGTTCAATGACAAATTATATTTCTTTGTGGAATGACAATACCATTCTTTCCTACCTGCTGGTTTCAGAAGTTTTCCATTCACAGTTATCTTCACAGCCTTGCTTACCATGATGCCATCTTCATAGATACTTCCTGAGTGTCAGAAAAAAAAGGGGGGGGGAGATAAAATAGAGTAGTTGACTTTGAAACAATCTTGGCATGGAAATATTTTCATAGAAACTCAAGTCACCATAAATCAAAATAGTAGGTATGATTTAAATCAGTGTTTCTCAACCTCTGCAAATTTAAGATGTGTGGACTTCAACTCTGGCTGGGGAATTTTGGGAGTTGACGTCCACACATCTTAAAGTTGCAGAGGTTGGGAAACACTGATTTAAATAACAAGATTATAATTCGATGACTCTTTTTCTCGAATTAGTGTCTAAATTACCTTAAGAGTAAAAAAACAAAAACAAAAAAACCTTTTCATTAGTTTTGCTGTAATTTTATATTTGTTTCAAAATAATTTACTTGCTGAATATAAGCAACAGTAAATAATTCCTTAATGACAAACTTGGTATGTAAGTCTTTATCTCCTATCCTTCCAAGAATCAGAAATTCTCTGCTTTTGAAGGATGATATTAATGGCTTCTGATGCTGAGTTCACATGCAAACTTTCATGCTGCCCATCCCTGAACAAACTTGAAGGACTAAGACATTTCATTTAGGATGTTCTGTATTTCCAGAGCATGGGAATGGTGACCCACTGAAAATATATTAGTGATTTTAGATAGTTCTAATCCCATTTGAGACAATATTTCCAGAGCATGAAAATAAGGATTTACTGATGCAAATGTATTAGAGAGGTGTTTTGTATATGCCTTCAAGTCAGTTTTCATCTCCTGGAGTCTGCCTGGAGAAGTCCCTGCAGTTTTCTTGGCAAGATTTCAGAAGTGGTTTGCCATTGCCTCCTTCCTAGGGCTGAGAAGGAGTGACTGGCTCAAGGTCACCTTGGTGCCTTTAATCACTACATCAAACTGGCTCTCATTAGTGTTCTAAGTAGTTCTAATCCCATGTGAGATAACATTTTCCAAGCATAAGGATAGTGACTTATTGATGTAAATATTTTAATGATTTTAAGTAATCCTAATACCATTTGAGACAATATTAAAACAGTTATCCTCAAAATACAGATGGGGAAAAAGTCACTGTGAGTCTCTCCTGATATTAGGCACAAGATGTCATTCTCCACAAATGTATACATGGACATTGCACATACCCATACAACAAAATATGTGAGTATATGTGTATGCATAAAATGGTGAGCCTCTCCCTATCCATACTTTGAAAAAAAAAATCATTCTAAAAAGGATTCTAACAACTAAGTTAACTATACAACAAGTGTTTTGTTGGGCTTTGGTCTATATTTTTGGAAACATTGCAAGACCTAGTTAACTTTAGGTTAAAATTACTTTTAACCAAGTAACTTTCAAGAACATCCCATATTTGGGGACTTCTAGAATGTGTTTGCAGAGTGGCACCTATGGGTGTCTTCTGAAGGCCTGCAGCAGCAGCAAAATGCACATCTTGACATAATAATGTACCTCTTGTGTACATGCATGTGACTTTGCAAGTACAAAAGGGTGGAACTTGTGTTGTGCCATTGTGACATGTTTCTGCATCATTATTGATAGCTGTTGACATCTCTGATGGCACCAGTACATTAGGAGTCAATCATTCATCCCCTTTATTTTGTATTTCAAGACAAGTTCACTTTCTCCAGTCCAGCTTGTTTTCCCCTCTTCAATTTAACCCTGAAAGATACCATTGCACCCACACCTGTATTCAAACACTAGGCAAAGAGGGGCTTGTTGTTACTGAATAGTTTACTAAGTTTTAGGTGGACTCTGTGATGTAACCATGAAACTGTGTGCACACCAATAAAATTATCAAGAATAATAATTATCATTATTCAGACATGAGTAGAATTCTTCCTGGGAATATATAGCCTTAATAAAAAGATCAACATTCAAGGATTTTTTTCTGCCAACATGAAAGGTTAGGCTAAGTGGCTTTCCACACATCCTTTGGCATTGTTTATCTAACTTATGATTATTTATAGTATTGCTAAAACTTATAGGAAACATTACTTTATACTCCTTATATATCCTTCTTTCAGGTTTCTCTAAAATTCCACCATTATGTAAGAATTGCTAACTTGCTATCCAGAATTGGTACTGCAACAGATCAGTGTTAACTATAAAGAGTTAGAGAACTGAAGATTACTACTTAAGTTTCTGTTTGTAATATAATACATTACTCTGTTTATTTCATTTAAAAACTATCTTGATTGCACTGCATGATGTAAATCCAATCCAATCTCTTAACTATATGTAATTCTCTTAAATATTATCCCATATTCCACTAATGACCTGGATCTGAACTAAGAACCGCATATAATTTTACAATAGAGCATGTACTGCTGAAGAAGTTTGTGAAGGTTGTGAATATCCAGTGACTTACGGTTGAAGAATGGAGCGGTGAAGATATAATTTTCATTATCTAAGCTCCTTTTGTAGAAACTCTGTTCATATGTTTCAGCATTTTCTGTCCAATATTCGCCTGCACTGAACATAAGATATGGATATTAATTTTCTAATTGTAATTCACTAGGGTTTTTGTTTAAATGCTAGTAGTGCAATTCTAGGCAAGTCACTAAATGCTGAGAGCCATGGAGATGACCTTGGAGAAGCCACCCCGAAGCTGTTAAGACCAGAACAGGTGCAGAAGAAGCACGTGTTAAGCCCAGGGAGATGGGAAAGTGTTAGAAGAGACACAGATTGGCTCCCCCTGACTCCCTGGTGTATAAAAGTGAGGGAAAGGAAAGCCATGCAAGATTCTGTTCCTGTAGCATATCTCAATAAAGTATAATTCTAGTCTTCCTATGGAATCAGTTTCCTGACGTGGTCTACCTCATAGAGCTGACTCTAAGTAAATGAGTATCTAGAAAAATGTATTATGAGAAAAGTACTAAGTGGGTATACTGAAAGTAAGCCCTAGTGAAATCAAGACACTTCCTTCTCTGGATTACATTATTAGCTAGAATAACTGAGAATCTTAAAATGGAGCTTATCATAATACAATGGCATCTGCAGTTGGTGGTGGTCGTGATGGTAGTGTCTAAAAAGGCAAGATGGTAGACATGGTGTTGTGATGCAAGCCCTACTCCTTTTGTGTAGGTAAAGAATTATGATTATCTTTCCAAAAAAGTCAATACTTTTCCAGAACAGGTCTTAAGTAGCACATTGGAACTCAAGCATGCTATATAAGTAGGATTTAGCAGAGAGATTTTTTTGCATGTGTTAAATTGTGAAATCTATACATATATGTTCAAAACTCACACTCTGGATTTTTGATTTTGTGAGAACTACAGTTATAAACTTTACAGATCAACATGTCTTTTATTTGAAGATATAAACCAGGATACCCCAGCACTTACTGTATAGTGGCTACCATTTTTTAGAGAAAGCCTTTCTCAAATTGATCAAAACTAGGATATTGAATGTGGGGACCTCAAAATATTGACTTACTCCAAGATTTTAATTTTTCATTCCCACTCACTGTGCCAATGGGACTTTGCAGGAATTCTGGCCTCAAATCAGAAGTTTAAGCATGTGATTTTATCAGCAACTCTGCCACACTATTCAAGATTAAATGGACCCTTACCTTTTTGGATATACTCTAGTGATCCCTCCATCAGTAGCTACAAATCGTGCTGTAATTCCCTCACTAGGGAGAGAAAGATTTAAATCACAATCAATTTAGAAGAGCTAGCCAGCATTCTTGACCATATATTTACAATGTTCCTCTACAGCAGAACATTAAATGTACACATTCTTTGTGTTACCTTTTGAACAATCCAATCAAAAGAAATAACGTAAGTTCTGATCTGAAGTTTAAGGTACCATGAGCACTGAGAAATAGAACTATTCATGGCATGTGGTAGAGGAGTTAAAGATAGAATACTCACGGGTCCTGCTTACTCCAGTAATTCTGGACCAGTTCACTTGTAAAGCCAGCATCCAGCAAAACTCTCATCACCATGCCATTACCTACCATACAAACATAAAGGAAAAATGTCAAATGATTAGTGGAGGAACATGATTGGTAAGGTCATTGGTCCGTCTAGCTCAGACATTTCTGCATGGCATAGGACCCAGCTACTTGAGGAACCACCTATCTCTCTTAGTATCTGCCTGGCTGCTTCAATCCAGCAGGGTTGGCACACTCTGTGCTCCTTCAATTAAATAATGACATCTATCAGGACATTGGAAGCACATCTTCTCTGTCATAGCCCTCTGGTATGAAGTTCCCTCCAAGATCCAGGTGGCTTCCACCATAGTGGCATTTCATAGAGCCTTGAATACCTGGATATGGTATGCATGAACCTGCAACAAATGGAGTATTTGGGTGTTCTTGATGTTTTATGAGCCTGCTTCTCTTCCTGCAGACCTTTCATTATCAGGCTAGGTAACATGATCAGTGCTCTTGTATAGGAGATCATTTTTATCTATATTATCAGTGATCTGATGATGTTACCTAGTCTGGTAATGAAATGTCTGCAGGAAGAGTAGTAAGCTCAGAGAACACCAAGAATCCAGCAACTCAACTCTGAGTTAGATATATTCTCCTACAGTATATAGAGCATATTCCCTTCAAGTGCTTCTGGCTCTGCAGAACTTTAGCGCAGTTCACCCTAACCCACTCATACCCATTGGCAGGAACTAGCACTGAAGATGTTACCTGGCCAAGTAATGAAACGTCTGCAAGAAAACAACCACACTCATAGAACCCCAGGGACTCCATAGTTCAACCCTGAGCTACATATATTTTCTTCTGTTGGTACTGGTCTTTTTCTCACTGTAGCCTCCAACCTGTGGCCTAGAAAACAATCATGGCTCAGATGCATACTGATTTTTTTGAAGCATGGGGATGGGAACAGTGGCAGTGGGCAGATGCCCTCAAAACAATGGCTGGCTGGCAATATGTATCCAGGGCTGCAGGAACCCTTCTTTCCCTATCTGCTGATGCCAGTAATGAAATTTGAATGTTTCCCATGAAAAGCAAACAACAACTAGTGCTAATAGTGAGCGTGATACTACTACAGCCACCCATAACTGAATCAACTCTGATTTAAGCAATCATTATCCATTAAAAACCCGTCGTTGTTTCTCTTCTGTTGTTGCAGTTTCAAAATGGGTTCTAAAAAGGAAGGAATATCCTCACTCTATAAGGCCCTTAAGGTTCCAAGAGGCTCTTCCTCCAAGAAGCTCAAATCAGAATGTCATTATCATAACAAATTGGTAAAGCACATTAGGATGACATAAAGTAATTTAACTCCAACGGTCAAGTCCACTTCACTGATTAATAAGAGTTTGAAACGGAATCTCCCATATCCAAGACTACCATTCCAACCAACAGACTACATTATACTCTCACAAAGGAGAAGATGTGAACTTTTCCCCCTTTGTTAAAATCTAGCACTGAGCAAGCCACTCAATGCTTTTCACATTTGGCGATTTTAGAGAAAAATCTGGTATTCTCAGATTAGTTTTATGCTATTTTAATTTTGTGTGTTATTTTATTGCATGATTGTATTTTAACTAAACTGATGCACCTTCCGTGTTATTGTCTGAAAGCAATTCAATGAACAGACCATACTTACATGAAGGGTTTTCGGGTGAATATTGATCCATAAATTCAATGAAATTCTGAAGAAATACAGTGTTATTGTCTGTTATTTTCACTGTACTACAGTAGTCCCTAAAAAAAAGTAAACAAAATGAGATGAAATTTTGAAATTAAAGGACCATATCTTGTTGGGCTTTGCAAAGTTTCCTAACTTTGACAGCATAGGGGCGTACAAAGATAACCTTGATAAAAGAATACAAGAACCATCAAGAAAAAGAAAACAACAACTGAGTCCTGGGAAAGGGGGAGGCATAAGAAAGAAACTCAGAATAATCATGCCTTAGATATAAAGAGTTTCCTTGGTATGAAGGAAACTCTCACAGGCTTTCAAGACTCTGTTATTACACCCTGCAATAGCAAAGTAGTGTTCCTGAAATCCTTGCTCTGTCTGTTTCATGATCTGGCCTTAAGAGTTGACTGATGCCTTAAAAAGTTGACAGGAAGATTCCATGAGGTTGTTCATGCGAACCACAGTTACCTCAAAATATAGCCGTAAATTACATATCTATGCTTATAGCACAATCCCTATTCCCTTTATAATTAATTTTACCAGTGAATATAAATCCTGTTGAAAGTAACAAAGTTTTCTTTTAAAGAAAGTTACTTTCTACAAAGTAACAGGTTTTCCAAACTCATTGCAATACGGTGTCTAAGAAGTTGTTGGGAATGCTGGTCCATGACATCCAGTTTTCTGGCATATGCAAAATGAGTCTAAAGAGCCAGAAGATGCTGTTCATGGTTGAAAATGGACTAGTAGAAGAACGATACAGTCTAAGCCATGCTAGTTGTCACATTTCCATGGCAGGGAGAAACACAGTTTGACAGGACAAAGAAATGTCAGAGGAGGCACATCAAGATGAGAGAAGGCAAGAAAAGGGAAGAGGAGAACTCCATTTAGCCACTTCTCCCACTGGTAAATTTTCAGGCCGTCAGGAATTGTCCAGATGTTAGGACTTCACAGGTTTTCCAGGAAAACTTCTGTTTAACAGCTGGAAAATCCTCTGGGAAGAACAAGTGAGGACAAATTATTTCATCCACATGGATTATGGGCCATCAGGTCAATGGCAACTCTTAGCAGTCACATGGATACATCTTCTCCAGGAGGATCTGTCCCTAACCTGGTCCTCTGGGTCTTTCAACAGTGCATCCACCACCACTGTAATTGAATCCATCCACCTTGCTATTGGTTGTCCTCTTCTTCTCCTTCCTTCTACTATTCCCAGCATGACAGACTTCTCCAGAGAGTCACATAATACTTTGGGCCTGATCATTTGTGCTTTGAATGAGAACTCTGGATTGATTTGTTCAATGATTTATTTGTTTGCTTTCTTTATTTCATTTGAGCTAACTGGAAGTAGCAAGGTTTCAAATTAAAAAAAAAATGATGATAGGGAGGCACTACTTGGGTAGAATGGGGTTTTTATTTGAACTTTTCCAGGCACCGTTTAGTTCTGAAAAGTCAAAGTCAAAACCAGCAGCCTCTAAAGGGGGAGTCAAAACAGGCAAAATGTCAGCCACAACACCATGACTGAAGCCTCGGCTCCTTGTGCAGTACCGGCAGACACGAAAGAGCAGAGCTTTAATCACAATGCCAGGACAGCCACCTTGCTCTTTTGACCACAATGCTCCATAAGGTGGTCCACAAGGAGTTAAAAAATCACATTGTGATGCACGTAAAAAAGGGGGGGGGGGCTTTGATTGCATGGTTGCAGCCATCATCTTGATTTTTTTGACCCTCCTTCCTGGGGACACCCCTATGCTATATAGATTCTGCTGGTCAAAATGTAATATTTCAAGTTGCTAACCTGAACCAGGTGACCTTCTGCTTCAGAAAGAAATACATTTTAAAAAGTAAGGAAAAAAGTCAGGTTGGGCAAGGCTGATCTCCCCCCACCTGCCCAGCCCCAGTTTTTGGATGAGATTTTGAGATTAGAAGAACAATTTAAAGTAGGTGTTATGAAATGGCAGCAGATACACATAGGATCTTTTAGCTGGTCATAAATACTGTGAAGGCTGCAATATGGCGATCCTTCGCTGGCGGAATACCTATTCAATGCTTACACGAAATAGGCAAGGACTGGAAAAAAAAAACCCTCTTGCTTTAGCTCACAATATATTCTTTATTTCAGTAGGAACTTAATTTTGATTTGCTCTATTTTATTAGATATTCCCCTTTTTCCATCAGTTGTCACTACGTTAATCAAGACATATTACTTAATGTTTGGCAACATGGTGATCAACCAGGAAAAATTACTAACCTGGGTGCTAAAAATGTATATCCAAATTCATCAAAGGACTCTCGCTTCAGAGTTGCAGTAACTGCAAAGATGAAAGCAAAACATTAGATGAACTAAATTTACCTTTTTATAGCACTGGGTGACAGGTGAAATTTTTTAACGGTAAAACCAGCTGGATAAATTCCACATTTAATTCAATAGGTTAGGTAAGGTACTGTGGCAAGCCCAGGAGAAACACCAACAGGGTTAGTGTTCAGGTGACAAACCCACCTTCTTTGCCTAATTACTATTACTTAAGGGCAGTGTTCTCATATTAGATGTGGAATAGATCCAATTATAAGATAGCAACTTACGAAAACAAACACTATATAAAATTGTTGCAACTTAAAGGGAGCATAATGATCACCAGAGGCATCCATGAATCCAACGATTTTGTCAAAATGAAGAAATGGGCATTGTGATATCACAGTGCAAGCTCTGTCCTTATGCCAGGTGTACAAAGGAAGCTGAGTTAGCATTGTGACATCACAATGTCCGTTTCATCATTTGCTCCCCCTTGCCCCACCCCCACAGACGCCCATATTGACCATACAGCAACTGAAACTAGCCAAAAGAAGAGCCAAGCTCAAACCAAAAGCATCTGCAAAATTTGTCCTAACTAAAATATTTTACTCAACCATAATTTCGTTTCAGGATTGCTGAAACACATAAACATTCCAGGCCAGAAATAAAAAGAAGATTGTTTGCAAAACAGCAAGTGAGAGGATCAAACAAACGAGGATCAGAGAATGACAAGACACTGAAACACAAGTGGGCAGCGGGAGGGGAGCTGTAATGTAATTTTATATGTTTTCTACCTTTTCTACCTTTATAATACCCAACTGGTATTGGAAAAACCCTTCACTGACCAATACAAAGGGTGGTAGCCGAGAGGAAAAATGAAATACAAGTGGAAAATATCAACAGTAATAAACAGATGGAAATTAAGCAACAAGAATATATACTTGCCCTTTAGGACTGTGATAATCCATCAGAAAGAGAAGGCAAGGAAACAGAAAAAAAATAGGGTAAAACAAAAGGGGTCACAAGCCAATATTTTATTCAACTAGCCACGTGAATAAAAATATTGTGGCATAGAGAGAAAGAAAGAGAGAGAGAGAGATCAGAGGTTCAGTTTTTGTACAGCTGTATTCTGGAGAAAAAACAATATTTCTGAAGCTTTGGCACATGTCTTTGGTCAAGTATTTCTTTAATGTACTTTCCATATACTGCAACTATTTCAACAGGGTGCATAATGGTGAGACTGACTCTCAAAATGCTTAACTAGGTCAGCCCTACGGCATTCATCTGATCCTCTTATTTTACAAAACGTTGAGAAATAAATCACGCACATACATAAAAAGGGATAGGGCGTTGTTCACATGATCACAGCCACCATTTTGACTTTTATCACACCCCGCCCATGGATGCTGTTGTATTTGGGGCATTGAGTTGCTCCCCTGAACAGTTTTGTTCATGTGAACAGTAACATAAAAGATTTGGAATGCCCAAAATTCTACTGCAGAAAAACTCCAGAAGATAAAGCAGTAAGTCAATATGAGAGAAGAAATTAGAATTTCAACCCTAGCGTTTTCCACAATTAAAACCCAATTCAGTCTACCAAACTGCTTTGTGCCTACAGACCTCCCAGTCGATAGATCTGTCTTGCAATGCTATTTTATACTTTATGAGAATCAGCTTTAATTTGATCGATTAACCAGTTCTTAGCATGGAAAGGTAGATAATAGAAAGTAGGCACCAATTATCAGATTCCCAACCCAGGGTTGGCCATGAAAGATACCAAAGTGGAAAGGGGCTCAGAAGGCTTAAATAGAAGCTGGCAAAAGGATTAGACCTGGCCCAGCTTTGAAGGTCACCTCCAAAGTGCAGTAACTAACATTTGCCTGCTAAGCTAGGATACAGTACTGGGCATATTTCACATCACAGACTTTGACAGACTTCTGCTCTCTTTCTGTGCTCAATCCAATTAGTGCTTCTTTTAAAACCGAAATCTGTTCAGAACCTGAGTGCCAAGAGAAAGAACTCTTTCTATATTATGCTTATGTTGCATGTAAGCAAAATAATTTTATTTTTTTAGATTAAAAGTATTGAAAGCCCTCCATGAGCTTAGATGATCTTTTAGGTATTTTCCTCCAGTTTATCACTGCAAGGAGGCAACTGAAAGGGAAAAAAATCTTCTTAAAGATGGCAGGTATCTATCTCAAATATCAACTTTGAGACAATACTTTTCTATCCTAATAATGTATTGTTACTGTACACTGTGATGGTTATGATTCTGATTTTTACATTTCATCCCATAAGTTACCTTGAGTCAATAGACTGCATCAGATGGAGCTTCTTTTCAAACACATTTTTATTAAAAGTCATAAGCTTTTGGGAGCTACAGTTTACTTCATCAGATGCATGGAGTGGCTAAACTGATGTAGGATTTACCTCACCCCACCTCATCTCAATTTGAAATTTGAAACATCTCAGCTCAAGCCCAAAACGACTCCTTCTGCTTTTTGGCTATTTTAGGCTGACACAGCTCTCCTCCTACAAAATCAATATATTATGTTTATCTCATAGCTGATGAGATGTAGGTGATAATACATTGGATTGCAAGATAGTTTCTAGATTAGAGATCTTAACTTGCATAGAATATCATGAGCAGGGCAGGACTTTCATCATATGGAATATTGGCCATAACATGCCAAAACTGATGTGTACTGTCCTTACAATTAGCAAGGAATGTTGCATGTGGTATGGGAATGATTTAGACTGGTAACCTACTCAAATTCTTCTTTATCTTGCCAAAAAGCATAATGTAGAAACTTTCATGCCATGATGGGCAATGGAGATGAATATCTATGGGTCCATCCAGTGATAACCATGGTTTATAGAAGGTTGCCACTTGGAATATAAGGTGTATAAACAGCATGAGTTAAAACATGAAATGAATGCAAGAAAAATAGATAGTTTGCACATTTCTGACATAAAGAAAAAAGGGATAGTGCAATAGCACTAAATGAAGGTGGTCTGATCCTGTGAAGTGGAGCTGATGAATATTGGCAGGGAAGTGAAGGAGTTGGATTAATTATAAATGAGTCAATGTCATCCAGATTGTTATGGGTATTATGAAAGTAGGGATTCATCGTTTGGTGACAGTTGCATGTTACACTTCAGTGAAAGGTAATAATGGAAGAACCAGGGATGAATTTGGGAGAAAACTATGCAACATTCTGAATGAATGTGATTTTTGGGGGTGTTAAATTGTTCTGTTAAGTGACAAATAGTGGCAATGGCCAAAGAGAGTATATGAAAAGTGATTCTGTCATTTAGAGAGCCAGGAGTGTCTGCTTAGTAAAAGCACAATCTATTTTGAATACATGGTTTTAGTATAACCATTCAAACATATACATGAAAAATGAATGAATCAAAAAGCGTGATTGATCTGAGTGCTTATTATGAAAACCTGAGGGAATCTGTGACAGATGTGATGGGGATAAGAAATTCTGAATGTGGGACAGACCTCGAGGCATCAAAGGTTCTTTGGGAAGAGTAGATATGGAAGAAAAGGAAAGAAGTGAAAGAAATTAGAGGGAAGAATGATTACAAGAAGCGAAAGTATACAGCTATATGTAAAGTATTGGAAGAGAAATTAATCTCCCAATAAAATGAATTGAAAGTGGACATATGTTTGGGGGCTGTTGGGATAAGATAATGCTGTTACAGAGCACCACATAAGAACAGAGAATTATCCTAGTGGGACTAAAAAGGATACTTGGTTGAGTGACGAAGTGAAAGAGGATGCAGATGAAGAAAAATGTATAAAAGATAATGATTGTTGCAGAAAATGAAGATGAGAAAAAGGTATTGTATAATGTGTATAGAAAGGAAACAGTAACTATGAAAAAGAGCAGGAACTGTTAAGATGCAAAGAAGCTGAGAAAATATAGACCAATTTTAATGAAATAAAAAGTAGTTTTGGAAATGGTTCATTTGGGCTAAACAAGAAGCCTCCAGAAAATTGAGCGAAATTGAAAACAAAAGGATTGGTTTCTGCCCACATGGTAATAGGCAAGTGAGAGTTGGGTATATCTGGAGAAACATAAAAGTAAACTGAATGCAGTGAGAATGCAGTGACTTACGGAGTGTGCGGTACAACATGAAAAAAATCTAGTTTCAAGAATGAAGGAGGATTCTGAATTAATGTAGACCAAATATTGACAAATATAAACGAAGTGCATTGAGGTGGCATGGTCACATAGAGAGAATGAATGAAGGCCAAGTTGCAAAACAAATATGTGAAGGAAGAGCCAATGGTTTGAGATGATGAGGAAAACTGAGACATCGTGTCAGGCTGGACAGAGGAGATGAGATCCTCAGGAAAGAGAACGGTGAAAAAGTTAAAGAGCAAACACTAATGTATGGAAATGGTGGAAGCAAGAATAGTTTACTAGAATAAAAAGGCACAGAGAGGTATCATTGATGATGAGGAAAACTGAGACATCGTGTCAGGCTGGACAGAGGAGATGAGATCCTCAGGAAAGAGAACGGTGAAAAAGTTAAAGAGCAAACACTAATGTATGGAAATGGTGGAAGCAAGAATAGTTTACTAGAATAAAAAGGCACAGAGAGGTATCATTGATTGTGGTGGTGGTGGTGAAAGCGAGAATTAGGGTTTCCTTTCCTGTTAACCCTGTTCCTTAATTTCTTTGTCTTATTATTTTTCTGTGCTTTGCATAATGTTGCTTACCCCAAAAAGGAATAATGTGATCGGTAGTTATATCTGCATGTTGTAGAGATTAGATTCCTATTTCATTCTTTAGTGTAAACCATCCTGTAAAACATCTTGGTTGAAATCTCTGTTTAATAATCCCACTTTCTTCTCTTCTCTTCTTTTCTCCTCTCTTCTGCAAATATTGGATTAGGACTCTTCTACTTGCTACCCAATATTCCATTCTGCATTCCCTGGATGTTTCTTGTGTTTAATGAAGCCAATCTGTTGATGTCTTAACAACTCAGAGTTAAGATACGGAAATATAATGATCATGTGTACGTGTCCTTTCTCATTTCAGAAAGGAGAAAAGACAGGACCTCAAAGCCAAGGCATAGACGCCAAGTCCAGGCTGAATAAATTGAATAGTAAAGCATCTTAGAGGTTTTCTCTTTTCTCTTTGTCTTCATTTTCCTTCTCACTTTAGAAACAATCTGAAGCAAATTGATTAATTACCTGATTGCATTCAATCAATATCACAAATATGGTAGGCAACGTTCAATGATTCCAACCTGAACTTAAGCAAACCTGGCGTGAAGTTACTATTTCATAGGTTGCTATGATAGGTGCACTATACCAAGCAGCTTTGCTAGACTTCAGAGCACCCAACTTATAACTCACCGATGAGCTATTCAAAACATTAGCTATGAGACCCTGAAAAAGACAACAGAGGATATGCAAAGCAATGATTCTGTGGGTATGTAAGCCAAGAGATGGGACAAGATCAAGATTTCTTAAAGCTACTAGGGTAACAGAACATATTCTACTTGGGTAGAATACTTTTTGTACCTTGCACATTCACACAATGACTTGGAATCATTGCTGTAGAGCCGGGGATACATCATGAGAACACTAGTGAATTTCACAAGCTTTAGAACTGTCAAAATGCTGTTCAAAAAAAAAAAGAGAGAGAGAGAGAGAGAGAGAGAACCATTCTCACTGTGCTAGACACTCAGAACAGGGTGAAAGTTCACAGTTACTTACACTTTGCCTGAGTTAGTGTGTCATTAATCCTGGCTTTGATATAGTAAAAGCTGTAGGATGGTAACACCAAAGCCAAACTGTGGAAAAAACCAAATAATTATAATCAATGGAAACAAAGGAAGAATCCAATATTGTTTGAAATTTAACAGCATTTTTTCCCAGCTTAGAGGTATACTTGAAAACTACTGACAAAATGATAGATGCGTGGTTTGACTGAATGCATTTATTCAGTCAATTACTTCACAGAGCCTGTTTATTGTTTTCACCTTTTCCTTATCTAAACTGGTATGCAAAGAGGGAAACTGAGAACCATTAAGGAGAGATTTGGAGAAGTGATTACATAGTCTAGACCAGTGTTTCTCAACCGTGGCAATTTGAAGATGTGTGGACTTCAACTCCCAGAATTCCCCACCCAGCAAGCTAGCTGGGGAATTCTAGGAGTTGAAGTCTATACATCTTCAAGTTGTCAAGGTTGAGAAACACTGGTCTAGAGAATGAAATAAGCATGAAAACTCAGAATAACTCCACCTTGATTTTGTTAGTTTAAAAGGGGACGGAGAGAAACTTGGAAAGGCTTTCAAAATTGATGCCAACCCTTAGTGGTAGGCCAAGTCAGGAAATATCACCACAAGGATTCCAAGAATGCTACTTGATTGTTAAAGGGTATAGTAACAGAATCTTGAACTTCTTTCTCACATTTCCTTCAACCTCTGCACTATGTCATCATTCTTCATGTCCACCTTTAATGGTTCTTTTGTATCAAGGTCATCTCTAATTTGTTTTTTCTTCCTAGCGTTTTTCCCGTGTGTGCAGGGTCTGCTTTTTTTTCCGGATCAACCAAATGTTGATCCGTTGCTTGCAACAGGAATTGACCAACTGGTTTGTCGCCCAAACTTGACATTATGGGTTGAGAGAGAGTGACTAGCCCAAAATCACCCAGCTAACTTTCATGCCTAAGGTAGGAGTAGAACTCACGGTTTCCTGGTTTCTAGCCTGGATCCTTAACCATTAGACCATACTGGCTCTCAAGGTCATCTCTAAATCTCTTTACAATATGATTTTGATTCATAAGACAGAAGGTGCTCCTGAGATCCTCTTGATATTGCTACACTATAGGAACCAGTATTCCTATTGGCTACCATACCTTGGTTGGGCAGCTCAAACTTATATGAATGAATATTTTTATTATGGTCACTGCCCAGAATTGCAAACAAAACCACATTAAAGATAAAACAAAACAAGATAAAATCTTACAATTGGTGGTGGGTTCGTCAATGGATAATCAAAATCTGCCTAATTTTACAGGCAGTATAGCAAAATTTAGCTACATTCATGGAGACTGAATCATACTGATCTGATAACAACCAGTGTACCTAAAAAAGATCAGAATTTCCCAGGTGTTTTACCAGGTAAGGAATTAATTTTAGCAACATCTAGAAAGCCCCCCCCCCCCCATGCTATGCTATCTGAACTAGCTAATTGTTAAGGAATTTTGATGGGACAAATTACACATTTCCAGATAAACCAGGAATTATATTTGCAACGTTTTGAAAGAAAAATTGTTACCTAAATGTATGGGTTTGCTTTTATACTGCTAACTGCAGGCTTATTGTTCGCACAATTCAAAGAAAGATTTCATGAGCCAATGAGAAATTGGGTATTTCTGCTCAATTGTTCAGCACATGAAGTACAATTGTCAGATTCAAAATTCAGTTAGGAAACATGAAGTTGGTTCCCTGTAATATTCCTGAAGTGAAATAACTAAAGGAGTTTCGATTTGGGGTTGCATGGCTCCAAGGCCTAATTAAAACATGTATTATTCTGGCTTCTAATCTGTATATATAAACAAGATACTGAAAGATAGAAAATAGCCTTAAAGATTATAGTCCATATCCAAAATCTTGTTTAAGCTATGAATATTTTATATCATTAGTACTATAGGGTGCTTACTGTTTAATATTTCCTGTAACAGCTGCTGAACATTAAGAAGAAACTATAGGCCCTTAAATCATAAATCATGCCTTTATCATTACAGTGGCCACTTGAACTGCTCAGCAAAGAATTATTAATTATCTAGTGACATTTTTCCACTAATATCTCTCAAGGGAAATCACAAAGGCTTTCCCTACCATTCCCAGTTACTGCTAAAAATGCTACTAATTGAAATCTATAATTGTATGTATAAATACGCCTATCGCCTTGAGGCTCTCATGAGATTTCACTGCTATTGTTTCAAAATTCAGCTCAGTTTAAAAACAAAAGAGCTTTCAGAAACATTGGGCAGGATTTTTTTCCTTATATATGTTAATCAGGGTTCAGAAAGAAAGATTAATAAGTCAGGAAAAGTTGCTGCTTACAATTCAGGGCAAGGAAACCGGAAACAATGGTTGCTAATGAGCGAATGTCAGCATTAAATTTGGTGAGATATTACTCCTTAATCTGTTCATTATTTCAATTGTTGGAGGACCTCCATTACTGGAAGTATGATGGGAAAGGATCTCTGTTTAAATACTTTTAGACACAGCAGCCACTCTCTATTACTGCAAGAATAACAGAGTAATGGAATAGTAATCTTTACTGGATAGATTTGGAAAACTGGAAACAACCCGGATAGTTTTCTGGCTATGGGAAATTTGCCAAGGCCAGTGAGTTAGACCACAGAAGCACAGAATTGTACAGCCGGAAGAGACTGCAAGGACAATCAATTCCAACCTTCTGCAATGTGCAGACACCAAGACCCATGAAAAGCTGCTTGAACCACGCATACAAGTTTTTTTTTTTTTTGTCCTCAGCACCAAGTTTTCATGGGTAGTACATGCGTTCTTCCTTTTTTAAAAAAGATTTTTATCTCACCTTTTTTTTCATATACAACTCAAGGCAGCAAATGTACCAATACTCCTTCCTTCTTCTATTTTTCCCACAACAACAACCCTGTGAGGTGAGTTGGCCTGAGAGAGAGGGACTGGCCCAAAGTCACCAGCTGGTTTTTCATGCCTAAGGCAGGACTAGAACTCACCATCTCCTACTTCCTAGGCCAACACTTTAACCACGCCAAGCATGAGAAAACAATTGGGAGCACCAAGGGAACATCTGTGTAGAGTTTCAACTCCAGGGCAGAAAACATCTTGTATCTCCTGCAATTTTCTGTAGGTAAGATACATCCCAAAGAGGGCTTAAATAGCCTTTCCTTGGCTGTTCAATGATAGGTTATAATTAACAGATGTTTGCATAAGTAATGAAACCAAAAACAGCTGCAGGCTGCAATCTTATTTGCCTGGAAAAGTATCTTTGGTACCACTGGAGTCAACTAAGGTCAGAGAAAATTCTCCTCCCTTTCTGCCTTTCGAGCTGTTTCCATCATAAGAAAAAGGCTGGGGGGGAAAAAAGATGAGGGCTAAAAGAGGAACTTAGGGAAGAACCATCCACAATCCTTAGGGAAGGATTAAATATTACCAAAACTTGCACCATGCAGCCTAAATCATTTCCCACATTAACTCTTCCAAAAATGTGCTTCCAAAGGACAGTGAGGTGAAAGAATCTATCTCGATTTTGAACCTGTTTCTCTGAAGTTTGCAGGACGGAGGTATCAGAGCAAGCTAGCCATCCAACAGACATCTTAGGACTGTTTTTCACTTGAAACACCAAAACCGATGACATTTTAACTTTTTTTTTTAAAAAAATCCCTGATTACCTGTAATCAGTACCATTCACAGCAGTCCATGTGTATGTTCTGTTTCCTTTATCAATATAGCGCTGCAAAAGAATCAGCCAGAGAATCATTTTATCAGGGATCTCAAGAAAGCTTAAGCCCACCACATGATTCAAGAATCAGACTTTACTAAACCTGAACAAATGGTCATTATATGTCATTCCATTATAACAAAACCCATAATTCTTTCAGAAGCTAATTTGCAGATTTCTATTGGGCCTAACACTTATAATTCTTTCAGAAGCTAATTTGCAGATTTCTATTGGGCCTAACACTTATAATTCTTTCAGAAGCTAATTTGCAGATTTCTATTGGGCCTAACCCTTATTTTTTTTTTTTTCAAAATTCCAAAGAACAATTATGGAAGAGCAACGTCAAGCAATGTGAACATTCAATTAGATTTCTCAACTGTTTTCTAGATGAACAGTATTCCTCAGCCAGGTGAACCCCAATCAGAAATAGTTCGGATCAAAGATGTTTAGGATAGAAACATTAATGTGATTGATGATTATGATCTATTGTTATAGAAATCATATAGAACACAGCTCACCCACCCCCCAAAATACTTTGCTCCTTCTGTAACTTGCTCCTATTTTTCATCACTGAATGTCATAGGACTTATAATTGGAAAAAGATGAAGATCACAGACATTTCTCAGAAATCTAATATTTCTTTTCCAAGCTCAAATTTGGTGCAATGGAGAAAAAAGTCATTTTTATTTTTTTTTTGTAAGTAAATTTTCACCACTCCTGTTGCCAACTTGCTGCTCTGGTGTTGTGTTGCTTCTATCAGAATGACCAAAGCAACATCACGGTATCACATAGCAACTTTGCCCTTTTGTAGCTTGTGTGTAACATTGTGAGGCACACAGAAAAGAGGCAGAGTCCCTTACCCTCCATTGGGGATGCTGCTGTGTCTTTTCTCAATGAAGAGCGAAGCAGCAGTGTTGAAAAAAATAAAATAAAATTCCTTGGCAGATACAAGTGCCTCCCAAAAGAAGCTGAATCAAATACATCTAGGATGAGAATATCCTTTTTTATCTCACACAAAGTGAGTTGTAAACAGATCTGAGTCACACTCTTTTTAGAAATTATATATAAACCATTTCCTTGTCTCGAACAAGACCAAGTCATAGTCGTGTTTTACTCAAAGGCAGCTGTGTCCTTGATATGAGAACTGGAGACCAAAAAATATGCTGCTTTTATTACAATCAAGACTAAGGATGAATGATGCTGGGGAATGAAGCCTACTTTTCATACATTCCTACACAAAATAATCTGAATACTAACTCTGACATTCAGATGCAAATGCCAATTTATGCATGCCAGTGTTTGTACGTCTCTCTCCATTCTTTACCTATATTGTTTGGGCTGTGCAGAACTTAGGAAGAAATCTACCCACAATGCTTTCTGGTGGGCAGGAATGGTACTGTAGCATATGTCTGCAATGTACCCATGCTATTACCAGCACCCACAGGTGGCAGGGCAGGGAATGAAGCCCGAGTGAGCAAAGGAGCATTGGGGCACAAGCCCCACCCTTTCTCTACATGCACCACAACATCGCTGCATCATGTACTGTGATGCTGCTTTTGTCATTCTGAAAAAGCAACACGACCCTGAGAATGTTGCTCTTCACAATCCTGTGAAAAGATCAGACCTAAAATGCTGCACTACCTCAGTCAATTTCTGGTCAATATTATTTCTGGCCATTCAGGGTCAGCGATATTGGACACAATTTTAAAGATAAGGGAGGCGAAGAGTAACCGGGTGTTTTTCATTCCTATTATATGGTCATTACTACCCGCATCCTTTGAAGCATGAACACAAGCATGGTACCAGTGTTGCAAAAATAATCTGAATGTTTGAGTTCATTTAATTACAGAATGGAATGAATGGAGAGGCCACGGCATGGAGAAATTTTAGAAGGTCTCCTGACACTCGGTAGACATTTAATCAGTGTTAATACACCCCAGAAGAAAGGGGTTATTCAGTTTTCATCATTTACAGCTACAAACTCCTGGCCCGCTGTAGCATATTACAACATTATAACCAGAGAGAACGATTTCTAGAAAAGCTAAAAATCGTTCAGCTGCTGCACTGTGGGCTTCCTAATAATATTCAGAAAGATTATAATAGGTGTCTTACGTCTATCTGTAAGCAGTTTAAACATTAATAAGATTCTGATTTTATTATTCCCAGAGCAGCCTTCTATGTTCACCTAGGTGTGAACATACTGACAAATGTTTGCAACAAAAATGATTTGATCTGATGTTATCTATTTACTTATATAACTGGAGGATAGGCAACCCTGTATTTTCTTTTCTTCCTCCAACTACAGAAATACCATTTGGGAATACTTACTGCAAACATGGTTCCTAGATTGCTGAAAACTACACTTACAGAAATCTAGAAAACAGCATCCTAACCAACTTTAGACTCCACAATTTAAAAACACTCCTTGTCCAACAAACCACATCTTTTCAGATTGTGAAATCTGTGGGCTTCATCACAGGAGGGCATGGAAAGCAGGAAATAAAATATTCCTATCCTTAGGCCAGTGTTTTTATTCATTCATTTATTTATAATATTCATAGCTTGCCCCATCCAAACAGACTAAGGGCACTTTGGTTTTTGAAATCCTTGTAGAGTAGGAGCAATCTGTCCCTTGGAGGGAGAAAGGGTTCAACTTAAATGGTGGCCATCCCTGATGAAGCTGGTTGCTTGGCCCACACCCCATGAACCTTGTGATTTTCATTTATTAAAATATGCAGTTATAGACCAAAGACAAAGGACATCATCATCACCATTATCATACGTAAACAATAAACACCGCTGAAACATTCTACAGGTCCCAAAACTGATAGTCATTGCTATGATACAAAATTTGGCAACAGTTCTAGACACTTCTCATCGTAGTGCATGATTGCCATATGAAAAGCAATCTGAATAATTGAAAATAAGAAGGGAGATTAACTCTACCCTCCAGGGGTGGTAGATAGGGTATTTCAGAAGGACATGTGCTGCCGTCTCAATTTCAAAGTTTGAGCAAATGCATAAACACCCTTAGTAGGGAATATCATTGAATGTATCCTCCAAGGGGAATGCATCCAGACATGCCAGTGTGACGGCTTTCCCATGAGATGGAAGTAGTAAATGATACATATATTTGGGAATAGTAAAAGGAGAGGGTTGCAAGGAAGAGGGGTCCTGTATTTTGTTCCCTAACATGTTGCAGTTTCTAATTTCCTAGCTCCAGGAATTCTGACTAGCATAGCATTGGATTTCTGGCAGTTTGTCTTGTATCAGGTTAGCCAACTCACTTCTTTTTGTCAGAAAGCAAATCGTTGTATTCTCACCTCATCTTGAGATTTGACTAGCGTTCTAAATGTCCGGTCCCCACTTTCACCATCTATCATTTTTTTCCGAATCTACAATTGAGAAAATGACAACCACAAAGAAGTCAATTCATGCTCCTTTATAAGCGTGACTCATTCTGGCCATTTCCTTAACGTTGCAAGGAGAAATATTTTCATAGTCTTTAATCAAATGTGATATTTAAAGAAAAGTCAAACACTGTAATTGGTTTATTTCAGCGATAACAAGAAACTATTACACGCCTTTAGCCATAGCTCAGTGCATAATTGATGGGGAAAATCTCCCACAATATCTGTTACTGTATCTGAATTCTTGAAACCTCTTAGAAAGACCTTTGCAGGTAAAATATCTGCTACGTCTCTGACAGAATTCTGATGGAATTCCAACATCTCATCTTTGATTCTGAATTCCAAATAGAGTGCTATAAGAATGGGCTCTTCAGCTATTGCATTCAACTCATTGAATGTTCTCCTCAAAGAGATTGTTACTTTCCTTTATAATGTCAGGTTAAAAAGAAGTGTGTGTTTGTTTTAGAGGCAAGGTTTTTTTTAAAAAAACTCCTCATTCCCCTTCAGGTTTCAAGCTTTGTGGTTTCGTTCTTTATATATTTTTTTTATTGCTCCCCCCCCCCCTGTTCTTGTTAGGCTAAAAAAAAATCCCTTTACAATCTGGCTTTACGCTAATATAGCCAAACAAGTAAAACTCCAGGAGGCCAAACAATGAAAAATCCAACTCCTTGTACGGGATACGGTGGGGAATTACTGCCTGACAGATTTCTTCTGAAGGATGCTTGAACCTGGTCAGTCACAGGCCAGAAAGCAAAATCAATCGCAATAAAAAATTGAGCCCAAAATACCCAAGGTAGCTGCCTATATCTGTATTTGCTTCAGAACTAACTTATTCTGTCACCATGAAAAATCCCCACAATACAACGAGAATAATGATCAATACAACGTACCTCAACTTTAATGTCATTTTCCAGCTCCGCATCCAGAAAATCTAGTGTCACTGGTTCCTGAGATTTGGGATTCTGAAGAAGATTTCAAACCAGCATATAATAAACATATTCTGGTGCTAACCCAAAACTAACAACACTCATAAAACTAAAATCACTTACCTTTCCATATAACCAGTACATTTGTAACATTTTGGATTCTCTTTGGATTTAAACTGAAATTATTACAAAGAAAGTTCTCAGGGTTGCCAACATCTGACAAATCGGGTCAGACTGGTTAGTGCTGGGAAGATGGATTCTCAAGGAATTCCATGGCTGTAAATTAGGTTAACAAGTAAAGCAAAACAGAAAAATCCAAAAGAAGGCAACTGCTTCCATATTTCTGCCAAGAAAACTACCTGTCCATAAGCCACTAGGAGACAGGCTCAGTTAAAGATTATCTTTAATTTATTTGAGAAAAGAAAGGCAACTGGGGAAACAGGAATCAGTTTGTTTGGTTTGATTATGAGGAAGTATCTGGAGACTCTTCCCTTGTTCTAAATAAATTCAAAACATTTTATGTCTGGTAAATGCAAGCAAAGAAACAGACACAACTTCATAGTGGTAATACTGTAGGTATTAAATAAAAAAGCAATGATGTCTCATTTCTGAACAGAAGCATCAGAAATCATAGACCTCATTATACAGAGGTGGAAACATACTCAACTTTGAAATAAAAGGGGCAGGATGGACAAAAAGGAAGAATAAAAAAAGAATAGAAATGAATTTCTTCAGTTAAAGAAAAAGAAATATGGACTTAACTTTGTAGATTAAAAACTAATTCAATTCTTAATGCCTAAATTAAAAAGATTCATCTGCAAAGGCCTTCACTACAACTACCAGCATGTTGAATAAAATCAGCTATTTATATTCTTCTGGAGCAAAATACATCTCTACTAGACTGATAATGTCTTCATTTTGTTGATTTTTTTTAAAGCAAAGAGAGAACATTTTAGACACCACATGTGAAATTATATAATGTCTTAGATATGAGAATATTCAAATGGAGAATTGAAGTAGATTGATTTGAATTAATGCAGATTACCTGTGTACATCCTCCTATGGCATTACAGTTGTTAAAATCTTATTCATCTGGACAAATGACTATTAAATCTGGCAACTTAAGTAAAACATCAACAGAACAGAAACAAATGACAATGACATGTTTTTAAAAGCCAGTGGTTTAACATTTGCAAATCATACAGTGGGTGTCAAGCATTCCATAAAAGCAAATAAAATTTAAGTAAATGAGTGTCTGACATGCAGCGGAATGATAGAAGTAACAAGCCTAGAAGTATGCATATAAGGCAAGGTTGTAAGAGAAAACAAAATTATAAGGAAGTTGTAATACGGATTGCAAGAGCTAATCGTGCTTAGAATTATTCTGTTGAAATTAATGGGATTTAAGTTAGTCAATATTTAATTTAACCTCACTGATTCCAGTGGCCTGGATGAGTGTCTGCAGGGAATGGTCAAAAAAAGTCAAGATGGGAGCCACAAGGGTGCGACTGAAGCTCTGCCTGTTTATTTTATGTGGGTTGCATGCACAGTGTACAGAAAAAGCATGCAGAGCTTCAACTGCACTGTCATGGCCACCATCTTGAGTATTTTTTTCACCACATCCTGTGGACGCTCCTGGTGGACTGGCTAAATATGACAAACTCTCCAGCCATTTTTTAAAGATGGATTTTAAATTGATGGACAGCCACAGTGTAATGTTTTCAAAGCTTGGCAATCAGTGGGAGCATACAAATGAAAAATCAGTATAATGGAAATGCCTAGTATCTTGTTCTTAGCATTTTGATTCATTTCAAAAATACTAATACTACAATTACTAACAAGTTTCTCTATAATCTGCTATGATTTTTCCTCCACAAGCTACTGGTACCTTATCATGATTTAAGCCTAGAATAATTAAATAGAATTTATTAGAATTTAATTAAATAATTAAATAAATCAAACTGTATTCTATGATGGACTAAAGTTCTGATGTGCAGGGCTGACTACTGTTTTATTTACCACAGTGTTTATTTCAGTGTTATAAAATAAATAATTACAATACCTAATTATAAGGGATGAGAGAAAACAATATGAACTACCATAATAAGAGATTAACACTTATTTCACTGTGATTTGTACCCAGCCAAACATCTGGGTTGTGTCTTTAGAGACATGAGAAAAGATCAACCATTCACAACCTGGAACTTCAGAAATACATTAGGACTACAGTTCCCAGAATCCTCAGTTACCATGGCTAACAATAGTTGGGGATGAGGTTTCCAGGTTGGGGACAGCTGCCACAGAAGATGACTCCTTTCCTAGGGCTCTTGATCATATCAAGCACTTGTCAAAATGTGCAATGATATATATGACATTACTTCTTGCATATTTATGTATATTTTTATTCATGCAAAGATTTTGAATGTCTTTTAGAATGATGCATATCTAGTTATATATTTGAAATGCAAGAGGGTGGTTGTCCTCTTTAAAGCCCTTCATGGCTTGGGAGCTGGATCTCTCCATGCCCACCTACTACAGATTGAATCTGTCTGTCCTGTGAGATCCAGAAAGAAGTCTTGTTTAAGGTCCCACCACTGAGCAAGTGTCATCTGCATGAGACTACTGGTAATGGCTTGTCATCTTAGGAATAACATACCCCAGATATTCAAACCATCCCCTCCCGATTACATTTCTGAAGAGCCATTAAATTGTGGTTCCTTAGAAGGTCATTTGAGGACAAGACAACTTGCACTACCCTCAGGGTGGATTGGGTTGCTATTATTGGTCGGTTACTGTTAATTTTCTTAATGCTCATTGGCTATAAACCACTAAGAGTCTCAGGATTGGAGTGGCATAGAAGCAGAAGACAGTAAACAAATAAATAGACATTTTAACCTTCTGTCAAGGTGCCATTATATTTGCCAAGCTTTAGACTCCATTAACTGTTCACTTCCCATCTTGTTAAAATGTCCTCATGTTACCCTCCTGTTCTGCTCGCACTCGCATTCTGGAATCAGTAGTAAAAGCCATGCAACAGCAGAACTAATAATGGAAAAATGCTACTAAAAAAAGAAAATATACATAAATTCTGAACAAATTAAATGCATAATAACTTGTAACAGATATACCGTCAAAGCCCCTTAGCTGGGCATGATCAAGGAAACAAGGACTATTTATTTTTCAGTAAGGCATCTTACGCTAGTCTGCAGTAACTGCAGAATCTTGAAAGAGGAATTTCCCACCCTCATTTATAGTGAGTTCATTAAGGTGGACTTTCTTTGAATGATTTGCAATGCTTCTTCCCAGTTTTCTCATCCCCTGGCTTGAGCTGCTGCTTATGAGATAAGTCAACAGATAAGCCTTCTACCTCCCTACTATCTGCGTCTCTTTCTCTTACATTCCTCTCCCAGCCTGCCCACAGTCCCTCACGGTATGATAAGGAGTAACCTCTTTAGCTGAGAGGAGAACAGGAAGATTCGTTTAAATTTAGTGAATATGCATCCTTTCTTTACTTGGACATGGCATATCTACATTTCAATCATGTCAATGGTCAGTTTCAAATGTAAACTTCGCATGCATCCATCAAGCGCTATATAAAGGTTTCAACTTTACAATAATTAATCTGCTTCTTTTAATTTTAAGGCTTCTCTGAAAAAAAAATGAATAAAGCACTAATTTAAGTTAATAGGCAAATGGTGTCACTTGAAGCAACATCTTCCACAAACATCCACGCTAATATTGCAAGCTTCATGCGTTAGAAGCTGCTGGTTAAACAGCCTGCTTAGATTTCTCCCAGGAAGCTAAACAAAAGCTCAGCTTCAGCAACACCATTAGTCACCTCCATTCATAGTTACCTGGACATGGGGTCTCCTTTTTCTAATTTTGGGAATGCCCACACCAATGTGCTAGAGCAACAGAACAGCATTGATTCATACAATATTTTCACACTATCATGGCAGTCATTTCTCATATATTTGCTTCTCATCTAAGAAAACTCTGAGCAATTTTGCAATGAGAGCAGACTTCTACAAGACATCTTTGATTCTAAACAAAGGTGCTCAGTAGAGGAAAGGTTTTGCCATCTGTGCAATTAGGACATAAGTGATTTATGAATGAGAAGATTGTTGGGATGGACAATTCAAAGATAAAAAATATACCTATAAGTAAACATTGTATTTTAGCTACTTCAAGACTAATGAATGAGAGCTTGTGTTCATCATCACATACCCTTCTTTACTTTCAACAATAAATTATAGAGCACTTATCACATTGACCCAGGTCAGTTGCATCAGGAATGGCATGTGGAGGAAGACAACTCCTTGTGAGTAACCCAAATTCCCATAACCCATAGCTTTAGGCGTGCGGTGGACTGGAAACAAAATACTTCAACTAGGATATGAAGAACAAGCAGATCCAGCCAGAGGCACAACATACATATAACCCAACAGGATGGGAACTTATATGTATCATTAGGTTCTTTCTGTCTGTGTGTAATCTACCTCTTCAATCCAACAGCTTAAAATTGAAAGCACATTTTCAAAGCTAACATCCTGTTGACCGGCTATTCAACAGGAAAAGAGAAGCTGGAATCCAGCTATTCCCCAACTCCTACTTCCCTACTCAGTCACCAACCAGCAGGAATCACCAGCTGGTCACCAAATAACATCTTCCTTCAGTCCCATATTAATCTGTAAATACATGTGTGCTGATGGTACTTGGCATACATACATGATTTCATTCCCCGAGGGCATTTTCATTGGGTTCTGTGCTATACGCACGATTGAAGGTGCAGTTAAAGCCAATGCAACCAAAGGGGTATTGTATTTCTCCCACTCCATTCTGGTTTTGAAGCAATGCACCACTTGCAGGCCCATTTTGAAAGTCTGCCTAGCAACCCACAAGAGCTTCAATCAAAATAATTCCCTTTTTAAAAGATCTTGTGTGCTCCTGTGAGCTGATTTTGGACATGAATCTCCTGCTACACATGCATGAAATCAAGTTTAAGACACCCAACTAAGAATAATATCTGGGCAGAGGGATGTTTAGTTCACAACCCAGCCAAATATACCAGCTCAAGTAATTGTAGCCATATTTCAACACTACATTGTTGCATTTTAATAGCTCAATCCACAAACTAAATCAAGATGTGAACTTTGTGAATATAAATTACATTCATTTTAGTGAACCTTTTCAGTACTTCTAGGGTTAGGGTTTTATTCTAATAATAATTTCAGGAAAAAAGGACCACAAGGGTACCACACTTGTATGTAAGTACTATTAAATCAAGTGAGAATTTTAAAAAGATAAATAGAGGTCGATGTAAATTGCTTGTAAGCCAGACAAACCAGTTGCACAGCTCTGTTTTACTATGAATGTGCTAGTGGAAAAAATTAGGTCATGTTTCAAAAAGCTTGTCAGAGTTTCAGCGAGGAACAAAGATAATTTGTTGTTTGGGGAATAATAGCTATGCATGGTCTATAAATAAAAAGCTCATTGCATTGTACAAGTTTTGAGTTTAAAAAGTGCTCAGATGAGTTCAAAAAATCCTTAGAAGAAAACATTTTTGAACAACCGCAAATGTAAATATCTAGGTTTTTTAAATTAGTGGTCATCTAAATAAGACTTCTGGTGGTTTAAATAAATTCATTCAGAGTTACCATGTTAGATGATACTTGAGTTACTGAATAATATTTACATGGTAGACTAAAGTAGATCTAAATTATGGTGAGCAACCTTCTCTGTAGTGTATGTTGGCTTTGGATAATGGTTCTTATATTTGGGTAGCCTGCATCCCAATACTGAAGAATATTTAAGTCCATATTTAATGTTGAATCTAATCCCACAGTGAGAAACACATAAAAGATACCACTTAGATATGAGAAAAAGAATGCTATTTTGTTTCCAAACCATATCCCCAGATAACTGCTATTTTCTGAGACTCCCTTTATTTTAGAACACTCAGCTACAAAAAATCCTCCGATCCACTTGAAAGAACAAGTAATCCCATGGATTCTACTGCTGCTCCCCAACAGACTCTGTATTAGAAACTCCACGAAGATATTCAAAGCCCTCCCCTCTGATTTTAAAGCATTATTTTTAGTCAATAAAGCTCCTGGCTTGCTACTGTTTTGAAGCAATGCGGTGTTTCTGAACAGTGTGCTAGAAAAACAGTGCACAGCTTCTAAAATAGCTCTTATTTGCAACGGGTGACATTGTGCTCCTCACATATTGCAAAATACAGAAAAGATACTGCAGATATTACCACTTCATAATTAACTTCACCATGCTTGTAGCTGGAATTAATCTGTGGAAGTCAAAATCCTTTGGGTTCCAGGAAATCATGATTTCTTATCTTTATATTACCCAACAGGGTTATTCTGTGCTTTTGCTCATTTGTTTGTTTATTTATTTATTACATCTAATGTTGCCAAATAAAGATGTTAGAAACTGGAGGGCCTGCTCTTTCACTGTTTACAAGAAACCATATATACTACAGTAGCCTCAAGATATACTTCACAAACATAGCCAACTCAATGAATTTTGAGTAGGGAATATTATTGGTACTATGTGGTTTTGGAGGCAATACTAACCTCAGTTATTAGGAATAAAAATAAGTCAGAGGTAGCATCGCACCCTTTTCCTCTGAGGTGTGATGACGCAGATGCAGCAAGAAAAGATAATTGATCAGCCTCACTAACTTTATTGTGATTATTAATAGATGCCTCATCACTTGTGGAATTATCATGATTTTTTTCTTGCAAAAGAATTCACTGCTTGTCAAATCAGAATTGGTTAAGAAATCACACTTTGTCTCCTATTTAATTATTCCAACTATTAAGTTGAAAGAAAAGTTGGAAGGAAAATGAACTGATTCAAAATTAAGGGTACATTTGAAAGTCTAACATGTTTGGTTTTTTAGAATCTACCCAAGCGTTCTGCTTCCTGATCTCCCACCCACCGACACACACACACAGACAAAGTAGTGAGATACACAACCTGATAGAGTCTTACTGACACTTGATAGGGTCTAATTCTAACATAGACATTTAATGAAGTCTAACATCATCTCAACACGTGGTCCTTCCTGGTGTTCCTTAAAGCAGATCCTTTCAGCTTAGGCACTAGATTCAAAATGGCCTGACGGGTCTATGTTCACCAGCTTTCACAGCTTATGAAAGCGGACAGAGTCCTTTTGTTGTAGGTGAAGATAAAGAGGAGAGGCAATTAACCTTCTAACATCTAATGCTGGGGATAGAGATGTCACACAGGAGAGTTATACAGTATGGAAATATAGCAGGATATATCAACCTGCTTCTTTCTAGCTCTTCAGAAACATTTCCCTAACTCACCTCTGTAGCAATCAATTTGGAGTCTGGCTATCAGACCAGAACTGAAGACTTTTACTGGGGCTTTCTCCACTACTGAGATATACCGTAATGCTTTCCTCCCATCCTTAAGTTGGCATGTAACAATATCAGCAATATTGTTCCTCTTGCCAATTCACGAAAGAAGGGTGGGAGACCTACCATAATTATGCAGCTAGTCCGGTCCCAGAGAACAGGAGAACTATGCATTGATTTGGATGGTCATGGAAGGGACAGAGCAATATAATAAATTTAAATGCATTACATTTATAGCCATTAAAGCAAAAAAAAAAAAAAAAAGCTTACATAGATCAAGATAAAGTGAATAACAGAAGTTTTACAAATGGGTATAAGAGAAAGAAAATAAAATAAAAACTTGGTGATAATCATAATGACAATGACAATAATAATAAGTAGTAGGAGTAGGAGTTGTGACAGCCAGTTTGGTTTAGTGGTTAAAGACACTGAACTAGAAACCAGCAAAATGTGAATTCTAGTCCTGCCTTAGGAACAAAGCCAGCTAGGTGACTATGGGCCTATCCTTCTCTATCAGCCCTACGAAGAAGGCTACACTTCCCAAAAATGTTGTCAAGGAAGCTGCCCGGATTTGTCAATGCAGTTGCCAGAAGTCAAAACTGACTTGATGGCACGTACACACTCAAAAGGTAGTAGCAGTAGTAATAGTATGGTTGTGGGGCAATAATAAAAGGGGGCTTGCTGGACTTCATAAGACAAGTGTAGGAGTCACCAGTCAATCTTGTCAGACCTGGCATTTTCTGATTGTGTTGCAACAGCAAACAGAACAGAAAACACAATACGACTTTCATGGAAATCTTGCTGGACTGATCATGAAATAGGAAAAGCAAAATTTCAGATTGGGGCCAAGCTGAGCATCTCCTGATAAAAGGGGACATTATCTGTAGGCACCAGGTATGGTATAGGGAGGTGTTCCTTAACCTTGGGAACTTGAAGTCCATACATCTTCAAGTCCCCAAGGTTGAGGAACACTGGTATAGGGAGCAACTCAGAAAAGGACATGGGATTCACAAATATAGGGAAAGCAGAAGCCTCATTTCCCCCCACATCAAATAGGGGCACATCAAATAGGGCAGTGCTTCTCTCTTACTGCAAGGCTGGAGAAACCTTGATGTCAAAGGGGAAGAAGGAAGTGATGGGTCTGAAAAGCAATCAGGAGCTAAAGTGCTAATGGAGAGGGCAAAGGCTGGGAAAGAGAAGCTATGATGGAACCTCCCTTGCGATTGTGTGTGGGTGGGTGGGTGAGTGGGTGTGCACACCTCCCAAAACACACTTCTGGCCACTAGTTGCCTGACTTCTCTTCCAAAGAAAGGGATAGCAAAGATTTTACATACTTTAAAGCTTGTTGGAATAAGGGTGGAAATATCACTATGACTGTTATACCAGTACAGTTAATGACAGGTTAAGTCTGCCTTTCTCACAAGACAGAAAGGACATAAGAACAATGCTGTTGGGGTAAGGGGAGAAATTGCTGTTCTTTAAGACATGATTGTGTTGTCCTTAAATACAGGTGGAGAGAGGGCATTGAGGAAAGGTTTTAAATTATTAGGAATAAGAAAGATCTCTGCAAAAGCCTTGAATTAACACAGAAGAGCCTTACACTAACAAGTAAAGCAGTGAACTGGATTTGCTCACAAAAAAGATTCTATAGAATTAGTTTGCAAAGAAGTGCATAGAAAACACATCAGGGCAAAGCATTCCAAAAACTGCATTATCGTCAAAGCCACCATGTCTTTTTGAAGACTTGTTTTGAAGCATGTCCCCAGATGTGCACATAACACTTATTTCCTCTCCTTGCCCCTACAGTAAGATTTATGAATCACAACTAGAGGAGAAAATACTCTCACTCAAGTCGGGAGAGGCTAACGATAGAAACAAAAAATTAACAGTTCTCTTTTAGAGAGCCCAAAGCCAAAGAAAGTGGATTTGACAGTCAGGTGAAAGTTGTAACCACATTTGATTTGAGAAAACTGCAGCTACTTGTTCAGAAATGTTGATGGTTTGGGTTCACACTAGAACCTTCCATTCTTTCCTAAGTCCAGCTTTTGAGATTGTGGGGAAAAGTTGGTCACACGTCCCTTGAAATGATGCTATGTCAGCCAGGACGAGGCATTTTTCCAGAGATGTTATGGGGACGAATGATGTTGTTTCATTTGGGGGGGGGGGATTCCAGGGGGAAACAGCAGTGAGCAGGCTGCTGATAACTTTTTTAGTTGTCACTTATGATAGCTGTAAACTATGTTAAAGGGGGGGAAGTGGGGGGGGGGAGGAACACTGCTAGGCCTTTTCTAAGCAAGCCTGTTGATTTCTTCAAATTGATTTTTTTTTCCTGCTGTTCCCCAATCAATGAAATGGTCCCTCAAATTTACCATCATTGAAAGGGGCAGAGAATTTTGGAGACACTTTTTATCAGGTCTAAAATGAACTTTTAAAGTCACATCTAAAAGAAGGAAAGAAGAAATCAGATCAATTTAGCAAGGAAAAAAAAAACTAGAAAGGATGTAAACAGCATGCATGCACCTGTGTGTGTGTGTATGAATGAATATACTGTAAATAATGTGCAGTACAGTTTACTAAAAGTGTAGGCCAGTCTGCATAATTACTCTGCTTATGTCAAACTCAGAGAGCAAATGAGGAGTTGCCAAAAACTATGTTCAGTTTTTGGACAGGCAAAGGGACATATACATTTCAAGATTCAGCTTCAACATATACACAAATAAGGATTTTTTAAAAAGTCTTGGACTTTTAAAAAGTCTTGGACAATAAACTGAAGAAACTGGCAACAAACTAAAGAAAACCGTCTTCCGTTGGATCTTCAAATCAAAAAAATGCCCTACTGTGATTTCAACTCATTCTTCCCTAGCACAGAATTCTTTAGCAGGATTTTACCCTTAGCATTTCCCCATTTTAGTAAACAGAAAGATGGATCTTGTAGCTTCAGAGTATAAAATCAAAGAAAAGGATCTTCTGAACATGGCCCAAGGTTTCCAGTAAAAACTGAAAACTTTGGGATCACTGATCTTTTAAAATGTATTTTGCCAAACTGAAATTGAAATAAATTACAACCAGAAGATATTCCGTACCTTTGGTTGAAGATTTGGGTGAAGCAGCACATAACCATTGGGATCAATTGCAAAATAATAACCATTTGGACACAGCTGTTAAGGAAAAGAAATGTAACTATATTGCACTGGCCCCTGTAATTGCATTTAAAAAAAGGTTGACTCTAACCATACTGACTATAGAATTTAAACATCTCTTCAAGAACAATGTTAACGTTGAGCTGATGCAACTTTCCTCACTGCGGTGTTGAATTACAAGATCTATCATCCCCAGCCACCCTGGCCATATCCAGAGATGGCCCAACTGGAAAACATTCAATACCAAAAGAGAAAATATTTTAAGATATTTTAATTTGGTTCACTATAGCTCCAGAAGAGATGATTACATAATCTTGGAAATTAAGCTATTACATTTTGTTCCAATATTCTTCATATAAAGATTCAGTGACCCAACAGATATCATATCAACATGACATGTTATGTAAGGCGAAAGCATTGAGTCCAAATACGAGATTGTTTATGTACTGAAATAATGCTCTAAAGCAGTAACTATAAAGGAAGCAGAAGGGTGTGAAATCAGGTTAATATGTACTTTTTTGTCCTCAGCTTTCAAAGCCATGGCACAGAGCCATCACCTACAAGTCATGTATGACAGCCTAGAAAATTTGTGGATGGTCTTAAGTGTTCGTTTTCTAAGAAATCTGTCATGTCCCTTAAACTGGTGAAAAATAGGGGAAATGACAAGTGAAGAAAGGGCAAATGATCTTTTGACTTCCAGCCAGAGGAACTAGATAGACTGGAAGAGAAACTTGAAGAGAATCCAAGCTACTGCAAAAGTTAAAAATAGGTGATAGGGAAAACTCACAGTAAACCGAGGGGTCAGTTTTTTAATTTCTTCTAGTGACACATCAACTCCCATTACACCAAGAATCAATTGGTTCTGGCAAACAAACAAACAAATAAATTTATTTTCAGATGGTTAAACATGACTTAATGAGTAAACCCAATTTCTCTTCTAGGGGAAAAAAAAATAATTAAGAACAATTTGGCACATCCCAGATACAGTGGGGCAAAAAAGTATTTAGTCAGCCACCAATTGTGCAAGTTCTCCCACTTAAAAAGATGAGAGAGGCCTGTAATTTTCATCATAGGTATACCTCAACTATGAGAGACAAAATGAGAAAAAA